AGTATCCATTTCAACTAAATTAAATTCATCCAAGTTTTTTATACATCAACTCTCAAAACTAGAAACGAATTTTTTTATTAAACTCCCGCTCAGAACAAATCAAGTATTAACATTAAATTAAAATGGGAAGCAAATGATGATTATAAATAACGAAAAAGCACTAACAATTCATCGTTTTAAGGGAGATTCATTTTCTCAGATTTGATGCCCTCGGTATTCACACCAACCGCCTCCAATATCCCCTGCTTATATTTCCGTAAGGGCCCAGCGAAAATAACAAGCACAAACACCAAAATCGCGATAATGTACCAATTAACCAATAAATCGAAGAGGTATTTAGCTGAATCGCGAATAAAGTTTGTGTATCCATTATTTTGTTGATTTTCGGTCGAAGGTGGATCTTCAGCCAAAGGTGGATCTTCAGTCAAAGGCGAATCTTCAGCCTGTTGTAAACGGAATAAGAATTATGAAAAAGAGTGAAAGGTGATATGTGCGCTATAGGTTATATTATTTTTTTTAAGATATTCGGAATGAATTGGATTCGAAAAAAAATGGTTCTTCATCTGAACGTTCCCTGCGCCTTCTTTCTTCTATACAACCACTCAAAATTCAAATAATATAAATTTACTGATTGTTTTTAATTTTGTTTTTGATTTCCATTTTTTCGGTAAAATATTTTTTTATTCTATTACAATTCAATTCTCATAGATTGTTCAGGCTCTGGAGTGGCACTAATTGATTCAGTTTTTTCAGTTGAAGTGGCAGCAGCAGAAATAGTTTTACTTTCACCATCAGTAGAAGTTGCAGTTTCTTCTACTTTGGCCGCAGCAGTAGCTGAAGTTGAAGTACTAGAGCTATCACTAGAAGCAGTAGTATTAACGGTAGTCTCTGTACTTTCCTCGAGTGGAAGTTCCCCACTATCTGCGATCACTACATCCCCGATCGGACGATCTCTTGAATCAGTTGGGAGGTTTTCAATTTTGGTTATGATGTCCATACCTTCGAGAACTCGACCGAACACGACGTGGCGACCGTCAAGCCAACTTGTTTTTACGGTGCAAATGAAGAACTAGTATTCAGATGAATGGCGAGCGAAAAATGATTCAGCATGACAATAAAGACCAGAAATCACAACAAATATATTATCAAGTATTCACTTGTGATCCATTAGTATCAGGTCCAGCGTTAGCCATACTCAAAACACCAGGCCCAGTATGTTTAAGCTTGAAATTCTCATCGGCAAATCTTGCGCCATATATAGATACACCGCCGGTGCCATCACCATTAGTGAAATCACCGCCTTGGATCATAAAATTCTTATATAAGAATAATTATGCAAAAGTCGATGAAGGTTAGTAATGCTTATACCGTATCGGAAAGTAGGGTTTTTGGATTCAATTTTGACATTCATTATTCTTTTTTTTTTAATATTTTTGAACTTTTTGTTCACCTCACCTTGATAACACGATGAAATATCGATCCTTTATATCCAAGCCCATCTTTTTCACCGGTGGCCAACACCCTAAAGTTCTCGGCAGTTTTAGGGACAGTCTTTTTATTCGACGAGAATAAAAAAATTGATCCATAAAAAGCGTTATTATTATTGTTATTATGAGAAAAAGAATCTAAAAACAGGAGACAAATGATACCTTTCCATATAATCCCATTATTATACGCCCAAGATCTTCATCTCCATGTTTAATATCGAAATAAACTTGTAGGAATCAGAGAACATTTGACTTAGTACAGATTTATAATAAATACGTGTGTACTTTAGAATGGCCAATACTCTTCTATATGGAGTACATGGGCCCAGCAAACTTCTAAAGTTTAATATACCTTTACTCGTAATAACCGGTCCTTTACCGGCCTTGACACCACTCTCGTAAAGTAACGCGTTCACAATAAGAAATACAAGCAACGCAGCCGTTCGCCTTACAATTGCGCTCACATTTTTGCCATGCCGACGTGAGGAACCCATTACTATTAACTTTCCGAATGACACTTTACTGCGAGTATCGTAAGAAATTTCAAGGAGCAAAAAGTGACAGGAAAAGACGAATTTGATTCATCATTCCCGAAGAAAACTCTTGTGGTAACGTGTCACAAACATAAACATTACATGCAATAAATTCATACTTTTTTTTTAATTGAAAGTTTAATGTTCGTACTACCGCTACGAAATTACTATTATTATTATTAAATTTTGCCTGCTATAAATAATAAATGTTTAATTTCCAAATTCCTTTGAATGCACACCCCAATTATTAATTCTCGCATAACCACTAGGTGCCAACAAACACCATATGCAATAAATCATCAGCCCAACCCACGATATTCTCTCACTAACTTATTATACAACATCGCCCACGCGCGATTACTCAACTCATTCACGACCCTGCACGCTCTCTTATAAGAATTGCATTGACGAAGACGATAGATATCGTAAATTGGATTGTTCTCTTCGTCTGTTTCTTGTGCCATGATCTGTAGTCTTCGATCAAGCTCTTCTCTACGCGACGTCAATTGATTGGTTCTTTCCATGGATCGAGCGTGGCGTTCATTTCGTACCGCGCTTTCACGAGCTTCTACATCTTGCATGTACGCGGTTATGTATTGCATTTTCTGCCGCATCCACTCGTATTGTTGACTATGAGAAAGTGACTTGAACTCTTCGTTGGCTCTTTCGACGTCTTCAAGCCAGTAGAATCTACATATGAACGAGCGGTGTCTAGTTCTACTCCACAAGGTTGTTTGAATATATGGCAGTCCATATAAAATTTTGGAATTTATAAATCTTGGATCTTCATGCACTCGGTATTCGCTTATGGTCTTTGCTTCATAACATTTGCGACAGATTCGCACGCGAAAAGCCCAATAGACCTTGTGAATTAACTTGGCGCCACAGATCTGGCATCCTCGCTCTAGAACTAGACGTATATATGCGATTTCATCCATCCCTTCCGGAGGAGGCAATCGAAGGGAACGAACGAACTCTAATCTAGAGTTTGTCCAGATTTGTTGTGTGGTGGTTGATTCTTTGGAACACAACCACCCATAGTATAACTTGCAGGTTCTTGCCAATCTCAATAGAGCGGATGGCGGCAAGTATTTACAAATTTGGATGAATAGTTCTGGCGGAATTGAGGTCACAATACATTCATTATTCGTCGATGAAGTTTCCTCAGTATTGATAGTGACGGTGACGTCATGGTTTTCAATTTTAAGTTCTTGTTCGTCTACTTCCATCTTTATCGGTTCATTGAGATTTGTAGTTGATGATTCTTCCAATTTGATATTTATTGTTGATGATGTTGTAGGTTCTCCCTTGATCATAGAATTCACTTCAATCTTTCTCTTCTTATTACCACCTTTTCCATTCGATTTCATTCTCTAAACGTAATATATATATATATATATATATATATATATAAATAAACTATCATAAGAGATAATATTCTTTATAAATAATGACTTCTCTTACCTTATTATTAGACGGATCAACGTTAACTTCCAATTCGAATCCGTCAATTGATTCCTTTTCTTCCTTTTTTAAATTTACAGCAGCAGACGATGGCGCGTTTTCCGCTTCTTGGGATCCATCATCGACAGCGGTGATTTCCTTATTAAGCTTAGACTTTTGCCGGGCTGCTCTTTTGTTTTTTTGATTTGCTACGGCGGCCAAACTGGCTGCTGTGCGCGCACGAGTTGAGGCTCTCGTTACGCGCATGTTTTCCATTATTAAAACTTTCTCGTCACTTTCGAAACTAGTTATTTGCTTGGAAAAGTTATCGCATGAGAACTCTGCCAAATTAATGTTTTTTGTCTCTTTATTTAATTATTTACCACCGCCAGTTTTGAAGAAATACATTAACAGCAGCAGATTATGTGCTCCAAACAACACTACGCAAACAAAGCTACGACAACTTACAATAGCACCTTCCTATACATTCAAAAAAAACACGCTGTCCTGAAAATACGCTCACAGTTTAACGAAAGAGAACAAAGACGAACCTTTGAACAATAACGATAACGCAAAAATGTGGCAAATGTGGGAAATTCGATTTTTGTGTTGATACACTAACTCGGGGCCCCGCATAAAGATGCCTATAACTTTATCAGGCAAATTCAATTAATGTATGAAATACTATATATACGAGTGTGATAACATCGACTGAAAAAATATCAAAATAACCCAATTCCGAAAGATTCGACACAAATTTATCCAGAGACAGCAATACCCCGTTGATAATTTATAATTATGCATGTCACTCGGTGCTTGCTGACCTGTCCATAAGACATTCACAGAAATTCTAAAGCCGGGATTCGAAGATTATAATCCATCGCGATAATATTGTTATTGTTATCTTCTTGTGGTTGTCATTGTTCCACTAACACCGCCTTTTGAATTCCAAAAATGTTTTCGTACAATACCTCTTCCATAATAATGCTATAACATCATGCGAGGCCCAGTTGACCATCACGATCGTGGATTACATAAATCAGTAATGCGAAAGCTTGAGTCTTTGTTTGGTGCCCAGGGCTTGCAGATAAAAGAATCCGAATCAATGTTGTGTTTCGAGTTTTCCACATTTCGCAGCTTTTTCTAGAAATTCGTTCTATGGATCGAAAAACAGAACGCGAGGAATTGCGCGTTAGATAGACCAGCTTTCGCGGCCATTGTATTTCCTGGTAAATAAATTTTTTTTCCTAGTTGGTAGCATCGGTCCACGAGATTTTGACGGTGATATCACCGTTTTGGGCAGCGGTCAAGTAGATCTGAAAATGCATGCTGGGATTGGAAGGTGCCCTTGAAGTTACGATGATGTAATATCAGATATATAGTTATTCATCATATTCTTGAAGAAATTGCTATTATGTGGTTGTCTTTAAGTGTCCCGATTTGTTTTTACAATGTTTTCCGTAATCCACCCCTTTGAAAAAATCATGTAGAACTTGGGTTCGTGAACGCATTCTTCATACTCATTATTTATAAAGGTGTTATCATAATAATAGTAGTTTGCAAAATTATTTTCATTATTTGCAGAAGTGTTAATTTAACTTTATTTTTATTAAAAAGTAACGTATTTATATCAATTGATTGATTCGCACATTAGATTGGATCTCGTCGCGTCAATTTAGAATTAGGAAACACATTAAAAAGTATCTTTAATCTTCTTGAGACAAATTACTTGTTTCTAAAAAAATATACAGGAATAGAACAATAACTAAACCGTAAGACCATCTAATCATCATATTTTGACATTCTCAGTCTTCTAGAATTCGATTGCAACAAATACGTATAATCCATTGACTGTATCGTCGAATTATTCATAAACGGGTCTATAACGTCAACTACTTGACGCTGATTCAGTCGTCTTTCTCGCCAACGTAAGTAAGGATCTGTGACTAAACTAAGTGTAATTATAAATAATGCTGGCAACACGAGGAATATAGTGACTACTATTATTCCCGTTGTTTTGAATTCACCTTCGGAAAGTTGAGACAGGTAGTCCTTTGGATCTACCGCGCCATTTTGTGGTATTTGTGATAATGGTGATGATGATGATGATGATGATGATGGAGTTGGTGATGTTGTTGATGTTGTTGATGTGTCAGTTAATGGAGAAGTTATTGTTGGTGTTGTTTCTGATGCACTTGAAGTACTTAAAGATACAAAGCTAAGAGAAGATATTGTTGATGTGATTGTAGATGTTGATGTCTTAGTCGAGCGAACGCCTTTTAAAAATAACAAATTCGTATTATCTGTTTCGGGTATGTTATTAACCGAATTTAAATTCGCTCTAAAATTTTTTGTCCTTTTCATTGTTGCTGTTATCGCCGTTTTCGTAGATATGGTTTTAGTTGTTTTAGTTGGCATATTAGAGACGATACTTGTGAGTTCATGCTCTTTTAATATATTATTATTGATATTATGTACAGAGGCCGCTTCTACTGTAAAAGTTTGTTAATTTGATATTCGAAATTTCGCAATAACTTTGTTCTTTGATACTTACCCACAGGAGACAGCAAAGAATATAATAATAATAATAGTAATAATAATAATAACAACATCACCCGAGAAAACGAAGGAATCTTTATTATCGCTGTAGTCATTGTAAATTTCAAGTCGAAAATTATTATCGCAAAAGTCTTTATCTTTGCCGTCGCATTATAAATTTTGCCTGTCTTTAAATTCATCAAGGTTTAGGTCCCGAGAACCATAAAAGGATGGAAAAATACCACATGTTTATAGAAAGTCTCATTAAATTATCATCACAAAGTGCGCTTTATTCATTTGCACTATGAGATTTTTCACGCGTGCATCATCATATGAATCAAACTACGTATGATTTGCAAGAAAATGGCGTTCATACACATCACAATAACATTTTTTCCGAAATAAAAGTATCTGGTTTGATATTAAACTTTGGATTTTGAGAATAGTAAGAATTGTGAGACTAAAAATATGATATCATTTTTAACTTTTAGTTTCGACAGAAAGAGTCACGTAGTATCATAAATGTAAAACAATTAATTAGTGCATACATACAAACAAACAGTCCCATCAAGCAGAGTTCTTAAGAATATCCCTCGAACACCATTAAGCTTCCTACCCATTACGTCAAAACATTGCTTCGCCAAAGCTAAGAAACCGAAGAGATACATGAAAAGAGTGAACAATTAGGTTACTTGCGAGTTATTGTTTGTGTAAACGATATTCTGAATGATTACTTTTTTATCCGATAATTAGATATAGTAGATTATTGAAATATTATATAATTACTGTCAACCTCGTTAATATGCCGTTAAAATATGATAATCTCGTTATGAAAAATTCAGTTTCCCTGTAGTTACATATCAAATTGTTTGTTATTATGACATATTAGTAATAACTTTTTTCCTTTCTCTGTCATATTAACGAGTGTTGACTGTACTTCAAAATTAAAAAACAACTTTTTTCTGCCACTCATTAACAATATTATTGTACCTCTTTTCATTGAGTTTTATTTTTTAAAGAAATATAAAATGATTCTATAATTGAAGAATAGTAATAATTATTTATCAATAAAAAGTATAACGTTTTGATATATAATAGTCAGATTTACCGTATATGAAATATTATTATCCATTTCTCTTGACAAAAATATATAAATAAATTTTATTTATTTTTATGATCTGGTGCAGGAAATTTGTATCTCAGATAAATGTTGATAGATTATTTTTAAATAAAATTTTTTAATTCTGTTCATTTAATTAAGTTATTAAATGTTAGAGTGTATTTTAATCTATGTTTTAATTACATATATGATTGCTAATTCATTTATCAAACTATAAGAAATTCTAATATTAATTTATTTTTCTTAAAATAGAAATATTTAATTATCTCTTAATCTGTAATGCAGGCAAATTTGACTGGTAATTTAAATGATTTAATAATTTTTATTATATTATTAAATTTTATTACAGTAAGTAAAAGCTTTTCTACTATCAAAATTAACAGAATCTCAACTATTATTTAACAGATTAAAAATTAAATTTTTGTAGTGTAAATTTTTGAGTATGAAACTTTTTTTAATATTAGAATGGAAATTTTTAATTAGTAAAAATTTAATTTTAATGCTAACTCTAATTCAATAAAATATATATTTTGAATTAAAATTATATAAAATTTTATTAAGTTAACAAAGTTTTTATTTAATAATATTTAAAATTAGCAAACAAATTTATTTATCAAGAGTCACAGAATAGAAAATTAATTTAATTTTAAAATTTAATAATAAAATAAAGTAATTTTATTAGAAATATTTAAAGTTAAATAATTTAAACTTAAAATATATTATATAAATATAATAATAATATAATTTATAATAAAAACTTTATTTTATATTAAAGTATTTAATTTTATAAAACAAAAAATATTTATTAATTAAATTAAACTTCAATATAAAGAAAAAGTTTTATTATTTTATTTTTAATTATTATATATTAATTTATTATAATTCAATTTAATATAAAATTAATATCAATTATAATAAAATATAAATTTAATAATAATATATTTGATATTATTTTTATAAAAATATTAAATAAATATATTTTTATTAATTATAATTTATTAATAAAATTAAGCTATATTTAAAAATTAATTAATATTATAAAATTAAAGATAATAATTATAAAAAATTATTTTAAAAATCTTAATTATAATAAAATCTATATAATTTATAGAGATTTATTCATATAATTTCTAATTTATTTAGAATTTATATAATTATATAATAAAGATTATAAAAAATAATTTTAAATATATAATATAAATTAATAATTAATAGAAACTTTAAGAGAATTATTCTTAATAAAACAAAGTTAAATATATAATTAGTAATAAAAAATCTAATTATAGAAAAAATTAATTTTTACAATTAAAAATTATATTATATATAATATAAATTTACAAACTTAAAAATAAAAATTATAATTAATATTTTTATATAATATATTTAAAATATTAATATTTAATAATTATATTATAATGATTAAAGTAAATATTTTAAACTTTTATAAAATAAATCAAAATTATATAATAAAGTTAATAGTAAAATTATTTTTTATAAATATTATTTTATAAATTTATCTTAATATAATATCTTTTAATAATTATTTATAAATTATTAAATATTTATAAAATATATTATTTTATAATAGTTTTAAAATTATTTTCTTAAATTATATTTTTAAATATATTTTTTTTTAAAATAACTTTTTTTAAATATATTTTTTATAATATTAAAAGTATTATAAATATAATATATTTTTTATTTAAATAATACTTTATTTAATATATAATTATATATTAATTAAATAATTAAATTATATAATATAATAAATATATTAATAATATTAATAATATTAATTTAATTTTTATATTATAATTAATTATATAATAATTTTTATTTTATTAAATTATAATTATTATATTATATTACTAAATTTATTAATAAAATATAATAATTATCTTTCTATATTAAAATTTATAAATTTATTAAGAAATAATTTTTATTTTTATATTAAAATAAAGTTTATTAATTATGTTTAATTTCAGATTTTTTAGATTTTTTCTAAAAAAGTTATTTTAATTATAAAATTAATGTAAAAATTTTTATTAATTAAAAATAAAATTTAATTAATAAAAATTTTTGGATTAATTTTATAATTAAAATAATTCTTTTAGAAAAAATCTGAAAAAAAATATATATTAAATTATAATTAATAAACTTTATTTTAATATAAAAATAAAAATTATTTCTTAAAAAAATTTATAAATTTTAATATAGAAAAAAAATTTTGATTTTTATTATATTTTATTAATAAATTTAGTTTTTAATATATTATTTTTAATTATTACTATATATTAAGATTTGTTATATTAAATAATATAATTATATATATTTTAAAATAATTTTTTAAACTTGAATATAATTTAGATTTTTTTATATTAATCTTATATATTAATTAATATTTAAAATAATTATATTTTATAATTAATATTTATATATTTAATTTATTTTTTAAATATTTCTTTATATTATTTCTTATATTATATTATTTTATAATTATTTTAATTTATATTATTATTTTTATATTTTATATTAATTTAATTCTTAATTAATTTTATATTATAAATATAAATTTTTAGATAAATATAAAATAATTATAAAATATATTATAAAATATAATAAAACATAATTATTTATCTAATTATTATAAATATAAAACTTTAAATAAATATAAATAATTATTTTAAAGTATAATAAAATCTAATTATTTATTTATTTACTTATAATTTTTATTTTTTATATTATTATTTTTTATATTAATTTAAGTTTTAAAGTTTATTATAAAATATATTTTATATTATTTTTATATATTAATTTATATTATATTTAATTTTAAATTATTAAATTAATATATATTTTATTTTAATTTTTAAAAATATTATATAATTAAAAAATATAATATATTTTAATTTTAAATTTTTAAAAATATTATATAAATAAAAAATATAATTTATTCTAATTTTTTATAATTAAGCTTTTAAAATTTTTTATATTATTATTTTTTATTCTTTAAAAATATTATATAAATAAAAAATATAACTTATTTTAATTTTTAATTTTAAAATCTATCTGTAAGAGTTAATCTTTAAAATAATAAGTAAATAACTTTATATTATTATTTTTATATTTAAATATAATCTTATAAATAAATAGTATTATATAAGTAAAAAATATAATATTTTAATTACAAAATTTTAATAATTTAATTATATATATATAAGATAAGATTTTAATTCAAATAAAAATTTTTATTAAATAATATATAAATTTTTTATATTAATATATAGATAAATTTCTTTAAATATATTTTTCTCAGAATTAGTCATAAATATATATTTAGAAAGAGTATATATTTAGAAAAAAAGTGTTTTTTATAACTTAATTATTATATATAAAGTTATTTTTATTATTACATATTATTTTTTAAATTATATTAAAAATTATTATAATTATTAAATATTTATTATAATAATTTATTATAGTAATTAATTAAAATTTATTATAATAATCAAATTATCATTAAAATTTATTATAATAATTAATTAAAATTTTAAAATTTAAAATAATCTTTACATAAGATTATTATAATTAGCTAATCTTTTTCTTTTTAATAAATCATTTCAAATTATTTATTAATTTTATATAATAAGTTATATTTTCTTATTAAAATAAAAATAACTTAAAATTTTTTAAACTTTTTAAAATTATATTAATATTAATAATTATCATCTCAATATTATTATTATCTTTATCTAAATTA